TCCTGCTTCACCTCATGAAAGCCATCAAAATCTCACCAGTGCCGTTCATTTGAACTCCCCATAAGCACAGGCCTGGGACAGCAGAGGTGCTTAGCATCTCACTGAAAAAGGCTGTAAGAAACCTGGATATTATCATCCTATCATCATCCTTAACTGGACAAAACCTGAGGTGCTGAGCAAGCAATAAAAGGAGGCTGCCAAGACATAGCTAGTGTGGGATTTTAAAAAATCAGGCTTGACAAATGACTAGAACACATCCTGTATATAAGAAAATCCTACATTCATTCACCTGATGAAATAGATCTTATTTCTCTGAGACTCTAAGACCTTAAGATGGGAAAGTATGATATTTTCTTAATACTCTACAGAGTCATATTTCACAAGATCTAAGGAGTACCATGGAAATTTTATTATTTGGCACGCTGAAAGCAAAGGCTGTTTTTCAGAGGAAGACAAATGAAAACAGGCTCTACACAATAATCACAAACATTTTCAACAAGTAACCGTCAAAAAGGTACAGAGTATAAGTAGTAATAAATGCATAGCCAAGGACAAAGGAAAGACACTGGACTTTTTCAGAAGCAATGGTAGATAGCAAAACTTTTCCAACAGGGAAAGGCAGCAAACAGAGGTGGACAAGAAGGATACCCATCAATGATATTTACAGCCACAGAAGTTGAAGAATTGGAATACCTTTGGAATTAAGACACATGGAATAACTTGATATAGAACTAACTAAGAAGAGAAAACTCTTACAGCTTTACAATCTAACTGCTGAGTTCAGAGAGCAATCCAAACCCAGAGAGCAATGGCAACAGAGCATACCATAAGCGCTGCCGGTGATGCTGTTGGTGGGGACGGCGTGTTTCCCGTTCTGAGTGACAGCCCTCACGGGGAGCTGATGCTGTCCAATGGTCACTGGAGCTGCCTGCTGAAGGATTGTGACTGTCTGTCCTGGAACGCCCTGTGCCATCTGACTGGCAACTGTCTGAATAACACGGCTGGCTGTAGGTATGGTGGCAAATGCAATCGTTGGCTTTTCATCCATGCCTGCTTAAGAGTAGAACAGACAACGATCATTTACCACCCTGGCTTAGGAGCAGGCTTCATTCTCATTAACATTTTAGCAGTGATACATACCCCAGGCTCACAAATGTGAAAATATCTCTTCACCACAAAGTCACTTGTCTTTGACATGTCCTACAAGGTTTAGAGAGCAGGA